GATTTCTTATTATTATTTTATTTTATATTTTATTATTTATTATTAGTATTTATTTTATATTAGATTAGATTTCTTATTATTATTTTATTTTATATTTTATTATTTATTATTAGCATTTATTTTATATTAGATTAGATTTCTTATTATTATTTTATATTTGATTATTTATTATTAGCATTTATTTTATATTAGATTAGATTTTTTATTATTATTTTATTTTATATTTTATTATTTATTATTAGTATTTATTTTATATTAGATTAGATTTCTTATTATTATTTTATTTTATATTTTATTATTTATTATTAGTATTTATTTTATATTAGATTAGATTTTTTATTATTATTTGATTTATTTGATTTGATTTTTTATTATTTTATTGGTAATTTTTGCTGCTATTTTCCCCCTCATTTGCAGTCCCCAAACTTTCTGCAAAACCTCTTTTGCCCCGCAGGACCGCCAACGCGCATGCGCCCGCGAGTGGGAACGAAAGGAGGGAGAGAGAGAGGTGGAGGGGGGGCGGGGTTGTGCGTAACGCATGACGTCCTGGAACCCTCCGCGCTGACGCAAGGCACGTACGGCGCGTTTGGCCTCCTCCTCCTCCTCGTCGTCGTCGTCGTCCTCCCCCTGGAGGCGCGCGCGGGTTATTTTGGAACGCCGGCCCGCCCCCGTTGCTAAGGGGAGGGGAGCTGGGCCCGGGGGGGTGGTGGGGGGGGGGGGGGGGGGGGGGGGGGGGGGGGGGGGGGGGGGGGGGGGGGGGGGGGGGGAGGCGCACAGCCCTAGGCCACGCCCCCTCCTGCCTCTGCTTTGATCCCTCTTTTTTTCCCTCCTCTGAAAAGGCATCCCAAAAAGGAAGGGCTAAAAATAAAAGTCCTATTGGAAGAGCATCAGGGTTTTTTTTTTTTGGTTGCCATATTATGGGATGCAACGTCACCTTATCTGCTCCCTGATTTGACAGGGAAAAGGAGCTTATTCCAGCCCAAATTATATATATACACACACACACACACACACATACATATATATATAATCTTAAAGCAATTTGGGTGCATCTACACTCCTGAAATTATAATTATTTGCTGTGACCTGGATTATATGAGTCTAAAATGCCATAAGATACTATATATATAGTTTAGACTCATATAATCCAGGTCACAGCAAATAATTTTATATATAAAATTATTTTGTTATATTATTATAATTATATTATATAAAATTATATTATATAAAGTTATATATATATAATATAATCTTAATTATAATTAATAAGATTTATTATTAAGATTTATTATTATATATATTATATATATAATTATATATATATAATATATATAATAATAAATCTTAAAGCAACTTGGGTGCATCTACACTCCTGAAATTATAATTATTTGCTGTGACCTGGATTATATGAGTTTAAAATGCCATAAGACACTATATATATAGTTTAGACTCATATAATCCAGGTCACAGCAAATAATTTTATATATAAAATTATTTTGTTATATTATTATAATTATATTATATAAAATTATATTATATAAAGTTATATATATATAATATAATCTTAATTATAATTAATAAGATTTATTATTAAGATTTATTATTATATATATTATATATATAATTATATATATATAATATATATAATAATAAATCTTAAAGCAACTTGGGTGCATCTACACTCCTGAAATTATAATTATTTGCTGTGACCTGGATTATATGAGTCTAAAATGTCATAAAATACTATATATATATAGTTTAGACTCATATAATCCAGGTCACAGCAAATAATTTTATATATAAAATTATTTTGTTATATTATTATATATTATATAAAATTATATATATATATATATATATATATATATATATACTCCTGAAATTATAATTATTTGCTGTGACCTGGATTATATGAGTCTAAAATGCCATAAGATACTATATATATAGTTTAGACTCATATAATCCAGGTCACAGCAAATATTATTATATATATTATATATATAATTATATATATATAATATATATAATAATAAATCTTAAAGCAACTTGGGTGCATCTACACTCCTGAAATTATAATTATTTGCTGTGACCTGGATTATATGAGTTTAAAATGCCATAAGACACTATATATATAGTTTAGACTCATATAATCCAGGTCACAGCAAATAATTTTATATATAAAATTATTTTGTTATATATATATATATAATATATATAATAATAAATCTTAAAGCAACTTGGGTGCATCTACACTCCTGAAATTATAATTATTTGCTGTGACCTGGATTATATGAGTCTAAACTGCCATAAAATAATATAGATCTATAGATACATTGCATCATATATATATATATATATATATATATATATATATATATATATATATATGATGCAATGTATCTATATATTTATATTATAATAGAATAATAAAAATAATAAATCTTAAAGCAAGTTGGGTGCATCTACATTCCTGAAATTATAATTGCAATTATTTGCCATGACCTGGATTATATGAGTCTAAACTGCCATAAAATAATATAGATATAGATATAGATACATTGCATCTTATATATATATATATATATATATATATATATATATATATATATAAAATGCAATATATCATATATCTATATTATAATAGAATAATACTAATAATAAATCTTAAAGCAAGTTGGGTGCATCTACACTCCTGAAATTATAATTGCAATTATTTGCCATGACCTAGATTATATTAATCTAAACTGCCATAAAATACTATATCTATCTATCTATCTATCTATCTATCTATCTATCTATCTATCTATCTATCTATAATTGCCATAAGATACAATATATCTATATATATTAGAATAATAAAAACAATAAATCTTAAAGCAACTTGGGTGCATCTACACTCTTGAAATTATAATTATTTGCTGTGACCTGGATTATATGAATCTAAACTGCCATAAAATACAATATATCTATATATCTATATATTTGCCATAAGATGCAATGTATCTATATATCTATATCTATATAATAGAATAATAAAAATAATGTATCTTAAAGCAACTTGGGTGCATCTTCACTGCTGAAATTATAATTATAATTATAAATAATCAAATATAAAATAATAATAATATAATAATAAATAAACAATTAATATACCATAAGATGCAATACATCATTATCTATATCTATATCTATATCTCTATATAAAATAGAATAATAAAAATAATAAATCTTAAAGCATCTTGGGTGCATCTACACTGCTGAAATTATAATTATAATTATAAATAATCAAATATAAAATAATAATAAAATAATAATATAATAAATAATCAAATAATATATAAAATAAGATGTAAAATATTTTAGAAAATCCAATTGCTTTGAAATATTTGGATATAGCTTTTAAAAAAAAATACAGTTGCTTTGGGATAAATTTTACTTTTAGGGGGAAAGTATTTGAATCTTTGGGAAGAAGGGATTTTAAGCCTAAAATAAAATGAAATATTTGGATATGGCTTTTTTATCCAATTACTTTTGGTTATTTTTGGACTTTTAGGGGAAAGTATTTGAATTTTGGAGGGAAGGGATTTTAAGCCTAAAATAAAATAAAATAAAATAATGAATCTGCTTTGAACTGGATGATATGAATCTAAACTGCCATAAGAAATAAATTAAATTAATAATAATAATAATATAATCCAGCTCAAAGCACATAATTGTGAGAGTTGAAGTCTAAAACAGCTGGGGGGGGGGTCGAAGTTGGACCACAGGAAACAGGAAATGACACTTGCAAACCAGGAACAGAACATTTTTCAAATTATACAATATAGTAGAATAATAATAATAATAATAATAATAATAATAATAATAATAATAATAATAATAATATGATGATGATGATGATGATGATGATGGGTCCGGAACAGAACATTTTTCAAATTATGCAATATAGTAGAATAATAATAATAATAATAATAATAATAATAATAATAATATGATGGTGATGATGATAGGTCCAAGTTTGGACTTGAACTCCCAGAAAATTCTGCTCTCATGGTCAGGAATTCTGGGAGATGAAGTCCAAAACATCTGGAGGAGCAAAGTTGTGGGATTGCTATGACCAAAAAAAGAGAAGAAAATGTGTCCATGTTTTCGTCTTCTGCAAAATGGTCCTTCAGAGCCTATTGGGAGAAGACAATTATGTTGTCTATGTGTCTGGTCCTCCAAGATCTAATTGGGTTGCAAAGCCTTAGGCTGGCTCTAAGGTTGAAGTTGCAATGGGAAAACTGCTTGGTGTGAAGCCTTCTCCAAGCTGGTGTTGAAGGACAACGCTGAGCACGTCCTTGCTAGCAAGCATAGGATGATGGGTGTTGTAGTCTTATGTTGTCTATGTGTCTGGTCCTCCAAGATCTAATTGGGTTGCAGGGCCTTAGGCTGGCTCTAAGGTTGAAGTTGCAAACTGCATGGTGTGAAGCCTTCTCCAAGCTGGTGTTGAAGGACAACGCTGAGCACGTCCTTGCTAGCAATCATAGGATGATAGGTGTTGTAGTCTTATATTGTCTATGTGTCTGGTCCTCCAAGATCTAATTGGGTTGCAAAGCCTTAGGCTGGCTCTAAGGTTGAAGTTGCAATGGGAAAACTGCTTGGTGTGAAACCTTCTCCAAGGTGGTGTTGAAGGACAACGCTGAGCACGTCCTTGATTAGCAATCATAGGATGATGGGTGTTGTAGTCTTGGAGGCATCTAGCTTGGGAAAGGCTATGGAGCAGGCCTGGGCAAACTTTGGCCCTCCAGGTGTTTTGGACTCCAACTCCCACAATTCCTAACAGCCTACCGCTGTTAGGAATTGTGGGAGTTAGAGTCCAAAACACCTGGAGGGCCAAAGTTTGCCAACGCTAAGAAAAGAAGCCATCAGTGTTGATGCCATGTTGAAGGCCAATGTCTCTGGGTCTTCTCAACCTGCAAAGGTTCTGAGCTGGGCTTGTCCTTGTGTTCCCTCCGCAGGAGTGCAGCGGCCTTGGGGAAATGCCTGGATCCTTTGTGCCGACAGTGACTGCCATATCGACTAGCCAAGACCTCCAGTGGCTGGTGCAGCCCACCTTGATCTCCTCCATGGCTCAGTCGCAGCAGCCGCCCCAGCCCCAGCCCACGGTGGACCCCTACGACTTGCCCGGGACCAGCTACGCCACTCCCGGGATGAGCGGCTACGTCTCGGGCCCCTCTGTGGCCCCTGCGCCACCGCCACCGCCGCGCCCCACCAGAGCCCGCCCCCGAAGGCCGCGGGAGGAAACGGTGAGCGGGGAGGAGGAATGTGGAACTTCTGTGCTCCTCCTGTGGAACTTCCTCTGGGGAATCGGCGATGAGGTTACTAACTCAAACCTTTCTTGTCCTGTCCATCCGATCTTGGTCACTTCACCTTTCCTACAGGGCCACTTCACCTTTCCCTACCTGGCCACTTCAACTTTCCCCACCTGGCCACCCTTCTCCTCTCTAAAACTTCATATTTCCCCACCTGGCCACTTCACCCTCTCCTCTCTAAAACTTCACCTTTCCCCACCTGGCCACTTCACCCTCTCCTCTCTAAAACTTCACCTTTCCCCACCTGGCCACCTTAACTTTTCCCACCCTGCCACTTCACCTTTTCCCACCCGGCCACTGGGCCACTTCACCCTTTCCACCAAGCCACTTTGTCTTTCCCACCTGGCCACTTCACATTTCTCCACTGGGTCACTTCACCTTTTCCTACCTCGCCACTTGAACCTCTCCTCTGTGAAACTTCACCTTTCCCCACCAGTTCACTTCACCTTTCTTACCTGGTCACCTCACCTTTTCCCACCGGGTCATTTCTCCTTTCCCACCTGGCCACTTCACCCTCTTCTCTGTGACACTTCACCTTTCCCCACCCAGTCAGTCACTTCACCTTTCTTACCTGGTCACTTCACCTTTTCCCACCTGGTCATATCTCTTTTGCCACCTGGCCACTTCACCTTTTTACCTGGTCACTTCACCTTTTCCCACCTGGTCATATCTCTTTTGCCACCTGGCCACTTCACCTTTTTCCACCTGGTAATTTCACCCTCCCCACCGGGCCACTTTGTCTTTCCCACCTCACCACTTCACATTAATCCACCAGATCACTTCACCTTTCCCACTTGGCCACTTCACCCTCCCCACCGGGCCACTTCGTCTTTCCCACCTGGCCACATTTCTCCACTGTGTGACTTAACCTTTCATAGAATCATAGAATCAAAGAGTTGGAAGAGACCTCATGGGCCATCCAGTCCAACCCCATTCTGCCAAGAAGAAGGAATATTGCATCCAAATCACCCCTGACAGATGGCCATCCAGCCTCTGTTTAAAAGCTTCCAAAGAAGGAGCCTCCACCACACTCCGGGGCAGAGAGTTCCACTGCTGAACGGCTCTCACAGTCAGGAAGTTCTTCCTAATGTTCAGATGGAACTTTCCCACCAGGCCACTTCACCCTTCCCACCTGGGTGCTTCAACCTTCCCACTTGGCCACTTCACCCTTCCCCTCCTGACATGTTGGAACGAAAACAGAGTTTCCCTGCAAACTCAATCGCAGACGGAGAGTGCCTTTTGCTTCATTTCCAGGATTCGTTTGCTCCCCCCCCCCCCCCACATGTTCCGCTCTGATCATTTGCTAGGGGTTCCTACCTAGGCCCGAGTTGCAAACCAAGGATGCGAAAGGTGATATGAGTCGTAATAAGGAAGTTGCCACCTATGTATCTTGCAAGAGTTCTGACAATACCGGTGAACCATTGCAAGCTCCATTGTTGTGGTAGTTCGGGTTTTTCTACTTTAGGGGCTCCTACCGTAATAGTTTACCCATCTGGCTTCATGCCACCATTCTATCTTACGGTCCACCAAACCTCTGTCGTGATGTCCCGTGTAAGTCCAAAGGGTCTGCGTCCTTCCTGGCTCTGTCTTAAGGCTGAAACATGTTAGTTATCCGCATAGTTGTCAGCGCACAGCCAAGGTCCATGGGTTGGTCTCATGTCTCGAAGGGGAACGATTTTCTTGCCGTCCTCCGTGGGGTGACCGAGCTCCTCTGTCTTGTTCTTGCAGCTGACTCCCGAAGAAGAAGAAAAACGGCGTGTCCGTCGAGAGAGGAACAAGTTGGCTGCCGCCAAATGCCGGAATCGGCGCCGAGAGCTGACGGACCGCCTTCAAGCGGTGAGTAGTTGCTTGTGGGAACCATTACTCATTAGGAGAAGAGGGTGCCAAAACACTTGCAGTGTCCTAACACAAACCTGCAAGCTTGCATGTTCAGTTGGGTACCATTCAGCTCACATATGGTGCCAACAGAGAATTGAGTTGTGCTCCACAACTTAGATGTTTATGGCTGTGCTGAATGGTCCTCTGAGAGCTATGGGGCTGAGGGAGATAATGCCAAAGACAGAGCATGGGGTCTAGCTCCTAAACTGCTCCTCAAATAGGGTTGACCAGAAGTGTACCATTCCAACGTTTACAGTGTCCATGTAGGTGTCTATCAACCACCTTCTCATGGTTGGTCAACATGAGACAGGATCAGCTGAGTTGCAATAAGTACACAAACTTTTTGGAGTTTCCTAGAGCAAAGCTTCTTAAACTGTGGGTTCCCTAATTGGACATTGTGTAGCTCACCACCTAGTGGCCACTTTATGCAATTACATGAATCTTGTTAGTAAGGATTATGCAGCCAATGCTTCAGCAGTGCTTCATAGAAAAGGAAAATCAGCCTATTTGTATACCTGGGGTCATGTAAAAAAATTATCAGGCTCAAAGGAGTCACAGGTGGGAAAAGTTGAAGGAAACTCCGTCCTAGAGGACTAAGATTCTGTTGGTATTTATCAAGCACTTTCTCATAGAGTCATATGGAGCTGTGATTGTTACAGACTCCCATTTTGGAGACTATTTGGGGTGTCCTAGAGTAAAGTGACCTAAACTGAGTCATGTGTAACTTGCCACCTAGTGGCTGTTTTATGCAATTACATGCATCTGTTAGCAACTGCGAGCAGCAAATGCTTCAGCTGTGCTTGCTCTGAGTTTAAGAAGCCCTGTCCTAGAAGACTAATTTGGGATCCCCAAATGGAATGTGGGGCTCACGGGGAAAAAGAAATCATGTAGCTTGCCACCTAGTGGTTGTTTTATACAACTACACAGAACAGTTTGGAACCAACCATAAGTAGCAAATGCTTCAGCTGTGCTTTTTCTGAGTTTAAGAAGCCCTGTCCTAGAAGACTAATTTGGGATCCCCAAACAGAATGTGGGGCTCACAGGAAAAAAGAAATCATGCAGCTCACCACCTAGTGGTTCTTTTATGCAGTTATACAGATCTGTTAGGAACCAACCACAAGCAGCAAATGCTTCAGCTATGCTTGCTGTGAGTTTAAGAAGCCTGTTCCTGGAAGGCTATACCCCTGTAAGGTGTTTATCAATGACCTTCTAATGAGTCTCCTGCAGGAGAGAAAGCGGGGTATAAATAAATATGATAATAATAATTGTTTAGTGTGAGATTAGAGTCAAGCCAGGCTGTGATAGTTCTGGGCTCTCATTTAGGGACTCTTGGGTGTGTTCTAGAAGACTAATCCCCTGTAAGGACAAGAAGGTCAGTGTGAGACAGAGTCAGCCAGGCTGTGATAGTTATAGATTATCATTTGGAAGCTTTGGGGGATGTCCTAGAGGACAAAGGTTGCTACCTAGCGGTTGCTTTGTTGAATTATATGAATCTCCTAGCAACCACAAGCAGGGACTTTTTGGGGTGTCCTACAGCAAAGTGATCCCATTTGAGATCTCTGGACTGAATGTGAGGGTCACAAAAAATCATGTAGCTCGCCACCTAGTGGCTGTTTTATGCAATTACATGGATCCATTAGCAACTGTGTGCAGCAAATGCTTCAGCTGTGCTTGCCGTGAGTTTAAGAAGCCCTGTCCTAGAAGACTCATCCCTTGTAAGGTGTTTGTGAACAATGGAGTCAGCCAGGCTGTGATAGTTCTGGGCTTTCATTTAGGAACTTTTGGGGATTTCCTAGAGTATGAAACTCGCCACCTAGTGGTTGTTTTATGCAATTGCATGGAACTGTTAGCAACTGCAAGCAGTAAATGCTTCAGCTGTGCTTGCCATGAGTCTTAGAAGACAAAGTCCCTGTAAGATGTTTGCCAATTACCTTCTCATGGTTGGTCAGTGTGAGACAAACACAGCCAGGCTGTGATAGTTATGGGCTCTCCTTTAGGAACTTTTGGGGATGTCCTGGAGGACAAAACTTGCCACCTAGTGGTTGTTAGCAACCGAAGCAGCAAATGCTTCAGCTGTGCTTGCCCTGAGTTTAAGAAGCCTGTCCTATAAGACTACACTCCATAAGGTGTTTGTCAAGGACCTTCTCATAGTTGGTCAGCATGGGAGATGTCCTAGGGGACAAAGCTTGCCACCTGGTAGTTGTTTTATGCAATTACACAGATCTGTTAGCAATGACAAGCAGCAAATGCTTCAGCTGTGCTTGCCATGAGTTTAAGAAGCCCTGTCCTAGAAGACAAAATCTCTGTAAGGTGTTTGTCAGCAACTTTCTCATGCTCAGTCTGTGCAAGACAGTGTCAGCTGGGCTCTGATAGTAATGGGCTCTCATTTAGGATCTTTTGGGAATGTTCTAGAAGGCTACAACCCATAAGGTGTTTAGTCAGTGACCTTCTCACGGTTGGTGAGCGCAAGATGGAGTTAGCCAGGCTGTGATAGTGATGGGCTCTCATTTAGGGTCTTTTGGGGATGTCCTAGAAGACTACAACCCATAAGGTGTTTAGTCAGTGACCTTCTCATGGTCAGTCAGTGCAAGATGGAGTTAGTTGGGCTGTGATAGTGATGGGTTCTCATTTAGGGTCTCTTGGGGATGTCCTAGAAGACTATACCCCATAAGGTGTTTGTCAGCGACCTTCTCAAGATCAGTCAGCACAAGATGGAGTTAGTTGGGCTGTGATAGTGATGGGCTTTCATTTAGGGTCTTCTGGGGATGTCCTAGAAGACTACACCCCATAAGGTGTTTAGTCAGTGACCTTCTCAAGGTCGGTCAGTGCAAGATGGAGTTAGCCGGGCTGTGATAGTGATGGGCTCTCATTTAGGGTCTCTTGGGGATGTCCTAGAAGACTACACCCCATAAGGTGTTTAGTCACTGACCTTCTCACGGTCGGTCAGTGCAAGATGAAGTTAGTCGGGCTGTGATAGTGATGGGCTCTCATTTAGGGTCTTTTGAAGATGTCCTAGAAGACTACAACCCATAAGGTGTTTAGTCAGTGACCTTCTCATGGTCGGTCAGTGAAAGATGGAGTTAGTTGAGCTGTGGTAGTGATGGGTTTTCATTTAGGGTCTCTTGGGGATGTCCTAGAAGACTATACCCCATAAAGTGTTTAGTCAGTGACCTTCTGATGGTCAGTCAGTGCAAGATGGAGTTAGTCAGGCTGTGATAGTGATGGGCTCTCATTTAGGGTCTTTTGGGGATGTCCTAGAAAACTATACCCCATAAGGTGTTTAGTCAGTGACTTTCTCACGGTCAGTCAGTGCAAGATGGAGTTAGCTGGGCTGTGATAGTGATGGGCTTTCATTTAGGGTCTTCTGGGGATGTCCTAGAAGACTACACCCCATAAGGTGTTTAGTCAGTGACCTTCTCATGTTGGTCAGCACAAGATGGTCTCTTGGGGACAAGGGTCTCTTGGGGATGTCCTAGAGGACTACACCCCATAAGGTGTTTGGTCAGTGACCTTCTCATGTTGATCAGCACAAGATAGTCTCTTGGGGACAAGGGTCTCTTGAGGATGTCCTAGAGGACTACATCCCATAAAGTGTTTAGTCAGTGACCTTCTCAAGGTCGGTCAGCACAAGATGGAGTTAGTCGGGCTATGATAGTGATGGGCTCTCACTTAGGGTCTTTTGGGGATGTCCTAGAAGACTACAACCCATAAAGTGTTTAGTCAATGACCTTCTCACGGTTGGTCAGTGCAAGTTAGTTAGTCAGGCTGTGATAGTGATGGGTTCTCATTTAGGGTCTCTTGGGGATGTCCTAGAAGACTACAACCCATAAGGTGTTTAGTCAGTGACCTTCTCATGGTCAGTCAGCACAAGATGGAGTTAGTCAGGCTCTGATAGTGATGGGTTCTCATTTAGGGTCTTTTGGGGATGTCCTAGAAGGCTACAACCCATAAGGTGTCTGTCATGGTCGGTCAGTGCGAGACGGGGTCAGCCAGACTGTGATAGTTAGATATGGATTTCCTTCTGCCGACGCTCCTTGGCGTCTCCTGGTCTTCTCCTGCTGCCCTGACTCCGGTGCTTCCTCCGCAGGAGACGGACCAACTGGAGGAAGAGAAAGCGGAGCTGGAGTCGGAGATCGCCGAACTGCAGAAGGAGCGGGAGCGCTTGGAGTTTGTCCTGGTGGCTCACAAGCCCAGCTGCAAGATCCCTTACGAGGAGCTGGGTCCAGACTTGGGGGCCTCTTCCTCCGCCGGCGAGGTGGGCGCCTTGGGCCTGCCGGTCAAAGAGGACCCCTTTGCGCCCACGGCCTATGCCCCGCTGCCCGTCCATTACCAGCCGCAGCAGCCGCAGCAGCAGAGCCTTGGCGGACTCCCGGCGGAGGTAGCGTTTTCTAGTTCTTACTTTACACATGGTGAAGCGCTGACCGACCCGTACCCCGTTAACCCTTCCTATACGTCTTCGTTTGTGTTCACCTACCCAGAGGGAGCCAGCTGTGGAGCAAGCCACCAGCGGAACAGCAGCAGCGACCACTCCTCCGATTCCCTGAACTCTCCCTCGCTCCTTGCTTTGTGAAAACTCAAAACAAACAAACAAACAAGGCCCAAACTCAAACAGACCAAACCAAACCAACCCCCATAAGGCATTCGCTAAAAACCACATGCGCTATTCTTCAATGTGAGCCAAAGGCGGGCCAAGGGATGGAAAATTTAAAAAGGCGCATGCGACGGCCGTCTTAGCCGAACCGGGAGCATCCAATGTACAAAACATCCCACCTGGGCATTCATGTGCAGGGGGAAATACAAAACCGCCCAGCCTGCGAAACCACCATCATTTCAGCCACGCAACCGTGTTGTTGTTGTTGTTGTTGCGCTTCGACTTCTTGCTGTCGTGAAACTTTGCTCGAAACGGACAATGCAATGCGCCCAAACGCACGGATGGAGAACCTTTTGCCAAAGGAGATATGTTCTGTGTTTAGTGTTTCCACGCGACGCTTCAGATCGAGGAGAACGAGCGGGTTTTGGGGATTTCTGAGCTGCGAGAAGACGACCGGAGGAGTTCCGAGCCTGGCTTTTGCTTCGGAAACAGTTGGGCCTTCGCCTTGGATGGGGCCTGATTTTCTCTCCAGTGAGCCGGACTATGACGTCTCTTGTTTGCTTGCTGTTTGTACGAAGCCGAGCAAAAGGCCGTCCCCGATCCGTTGGGAAAACGAGGATGAATGGGGGTCCCCCCATTGGTGTCTGGCACCTTTTTTGCTGCAAAAAGCTGTGTTCTCGCTAACTCTGTATTGGCTGCTAATTGTGAATATTTGTGCCAGTTGCATGCTTCGAAAACGGCCACCTTGATGCTATTTCTCAGCCAGTTTGAGCATAAACTCCACCTGGTGTGTCTCCTTGAGCCAAGTTAGTCTGTGCCATAGTCAAGGAGGAATGTGAGAGAGTGGGACTCTGGGGAGTTGAGTTCGAATCCCCGTTCAGTCTTGAAACCCCCTTGGGTGAGTCACACTCTCTCAGCCTCACAAAGGCAAGCCTCTTCTGTGCAAAGAAAACCCCTCGACATACATTGGGAACACAACGGCGAAGTAGAAATGGAATGGTCCGTTGTGGCAAAATGAATATTTTGGGTTGCCATAGGTCAATAATAATGACACTGGCCGTCCCTTTGGTGACCTCTGTCCACTTGCCCAAGACCAAAAAAAAATACATAATTCTCCAAATGCACAAAATGATTTTATTTTAATATACATAGATCCCTTATTTTAATATATATAGATATATATCTTATAGGTCTTGACAGTATGACTTTGTGCTAACTTTGCTTTTGAGTAAATACTGCAGATGTCAATGGGTTGCACTTCTTGGATCTTTATTATTATTATTATTATTATTATTATTATTATTATTATTATTTACCTGGTTGGTAAAGAATGCCAAAATTTGCACATGTTGTCACTTTAAAGGTTTTAGGGAGCCAGTGTGCCATAATGGGATGAGGGTTGGATTGGATCTACACTGCCAAATAATGCAGTTTGGACTGCATTCTATGGTCAGTATATAATGCCATAATTAATGTATATAATGCCATAATTGAGGCTTTGACTCAGGCTGAATCTACACTGCCAAATAATGCAGTTTGGACTGCATTACGTGGTCAGTATATAATGCCATAACTGATTTGAGGCTTTGACTGGGGCTGGATCTACACTGCCAAATGATGCAGTTTGGACTATATTACGTGGTCAGTATATAATGCCATAACCGATTTGAGGGTTTGACTAGGGCTGGATCTACACTGCCAATTAATGCAGCTTGGACTGCATTCTATGGTCAGTATATAATGCCATAATTAATTTGAGGGTTTGATTAGAGCTGGATCTACACTGCCAAATGACGCAGTTCAAACCACATTATATGCTCAGTAATTAGGCCCCCTGGTGGCGCAATGGGTTAAACCACTGAGCTGCTGAACGTGCTGCCTGAAAAGTTAGCAATTCGAATCTGGGGAGCGAGGTGAGCTCTTGTTGTTAGCCCCAGCTTCTGCCAACCTAACAGTTCAGAAACATGCAAATGTAAGTAGATCAATAGGTACCGCTTCTGCGGGAAGGTAACGGCGCTCCGTGCAATCATGCTGGCCACATGGCCTTAGAGGTGTCTATGGACAACACCAGGTCTTCAGCTTAGAACTGGAGATGAGCACCAGAGTTCCAGAGTCCGACACAACTATGCTATGATAATTGAATGCCGCACTAGGTATCCCTTTGGTGCCCTCCATCCACTTGCCCAAGGAATCAAGAGATTAGATGGCCAACTGTTGAGAGTGCTTTGATGGTGCCTTTCTTCCTCCATGGTGGAAATGGGGTTGGACTAGATGGCCATTAGGTTCCCCTCCTGCTCTATCCCTTTGGTACCCTCTGCTCAAAGGAGCAAGAAGCTGTCTGGCCCACTGCCAAGAGTGTTTTGATGGTACCTTTCTTCCTCCATGGTGGAAATAGGGTTGGACTAGATGGCCTTTATGTTCCCATCCAGCTCTAATATGCTATGAATATTGAATACCACACTAAGTATCCCTTTGATGCCCTTTGTCCACTTGCTCAAGGAATTAAGAGGTTGGATGGCCATCCATCAAGAGTGCTTTGATGGTGCCTTTCTTCCTCCATGGTGGAAATGGGGTTGGACTAGATAGCCTTTAGATTCCCATCCAGCTCTAATATGCTATGAATATTGAATGCCACACTAGGTATCCCTTTGATGCCCTTCATCCACTTGCCCAAGGAATCAAGAGGTTGGATGGCCATCCGTCAAGAGTGCTTTGATAGTGCTTTTCTTCCTCTATGGTGCAAATGGGGTTGGACTAGATGGCCTTTGGGGTTCCTTTCCAGCTTAATGTTAGGGGAAACCTTTCCCTTTTATAGGCCCATATAATGCAATTCAAGCATGCATCTGCACTTGACCATATAATGCAGCTTATGTTGCATTATTTGGCTGTGTAGATCCAGCCATTTATGTTATCGGGTGACTTTAATGCAAGTCACACTCTCTCAGCCTCAGAAGGAAGCCCATGAATGAGTCTCACCTAGGGAAAAAAACGTGAAAGGGCTGGCATCAATTGGAAATAACTTGGAGGCATTTAAATAAAGTGTTATATAAGTTTAAACTGTGTTATTTGGCTGCGCAGATCCAATTTAGCCTGTTGGGTGACCTTAATGCAAGTCACACTCTCTCAGCCTCAGAAGAAAGCCATGGCAAGCCCATTGTGAATAAGTCTAGCCTGGGCAAAAACACACAAAAAGGTAGCCATCCATTGGAAATGACGTTTAAATAAAGTATTACTATTGTTATTATTTACAAACCACAAAAGGGTTGCTATCAATTGGAAATGACATTTAAATAAATTTAAATAAAGTATTATTATATTATTATTATTATTATTATTATTATTATTATTATTATTATTATTATTTACAAACCACAAAAGGGTTGCCATCCATTGGAAATGACATTTAAATAAAGTATTATTGTTATTATTAATATTTACAAACCACAAAAGGGTTGCCATCCATTGGAAATGAAATTTAAATAAAGTATTATTATTATTATTAATAATAATAATAATAATATTTACAAACCACAAAAGGGTTGCCATCCATTGGAAATGAAATTTAAATAAATTTAAATAAAGTATTATTATTATTATTATTAATAATAATAATAATATTTACAAACCACAAAAGGGTTGCCATCCATTGGAAATGACATTTAAATAAAGTATTATTGTTGTTATTATTAATATTTACAAACCACAAAAGGGTTGCCATCCATTGGAAATGAAATTTAAATAAAGTATTATTATTATTATTATTATTATTATTATTATTAATATTTACAAACCACAAAAGGGTTGCCATCAATTGGAAATGACATTTAAATAAATTTAAATAAAGTATTATTATATTATTATTATTAATATTTACAAACCACAAAAGGGTTGCCATCAATTGGAAATGACATTTAAATAAATTTAAATAAAGTATTATTATATTATTATTATTAATATTTACAAACCACAAAAGGGTTGCCATCAATTGGAAATGACATTTAAATAAATTTAAATAAAGTATTATTATTATTATTATTATTATTATTATTATTATTATTATTATTATTATTATTTACAAACCACAAAAGGGTTGCCATCTATTGGAAATGACATTTAAATAAAGTATTATTGTTGTTATTATTATTATTATTATTATTATTATTTTACAAACCACAAAAGGTTTGCCATCAATTTGAAATGACATTTAAATAATAATAATAATAATAATAATAATAATAATAATAATAATAATTTACAAACCACAAAAGGGTTGCCATCCATTGGAAATAACATTTTAAAAAGTATTATTATTGTTATTATTTACAAGCCACAAAAGGGTTGCCATCCATTGGAAATGACATTTAAATAAAGTATTATTATTATTATTATTATTATTATTATTATTATTATTATTATTATTATTAACAAGCCACGAAAGGGTTGACATCAATTCAAAATGACATTTAAATAATAATTATTGTTATTATTACTTACAAACCACAAAAGGGTTGCCATCCATTGGAAATTACATTTAAATAAAGTATTATTATTGTTGTTTACTATTATTATTATTATTTACTATCCCAACAGCTGAAAGCCCAAGTCTTTTTAGTCTCTTTTCATGACGGTGACACTTTGATATCCTTATAAAACCCTGGGATTTATAGTATGCCAAGGACGCAAGCAGTAAACTTTCGCAAAACTACAAATCCCAGGGATTTGTAGGTTGCAGAATCCAAAAGCAACTGTTGCGCAGTGAGATGAAGATCAGAATTGAATCCAACCCGGTGGCTTTATGCTGATAACCTGGACCCCACGAATGTTGTATTATTGGGGGGTCTTACCCCTTGTCGAATGGCCTTTCCGAACCGCTCTGGCACTTTCCCCAAAATGATTCCTCTTCCCGAAGGGTCAGCCCTGCTTGCCTTTGCTCGGTTTCAGGGTCGATGGTTTGGGACTTCTTTGGGTGACCGGAAACGATATACTGTGAATGGACTTTTCTTCTTCTTCTTCTGTACAGCGGCTTCTCTTGATATTGTGAGGCATTCCTTCCTTCGATGCTCTCTCTTTGATTTCCCTTTCCCGGCTCAACCCTATATCCTGTCTCGCTTCCCCTTCCTTGAAGGCCTTCCTTGTTCACTGTCCACTTGAGGAGTTGGCCAAACCTTAGCAAGACAGAGAACGAGTCCTTCCTTATAGATTTTCCCCTCGGCTACACACTCTCAGCCTGCAATAGGGTAACCTTAAGGTTGCCACAAGTTGGAAATGACTTGAAGATTTGCAGCAACAGAGGCTGGAGGGGCATCTGGTGAGAGGGCTTGGGTTGTGTCTTCCTGTATGGTAAACCTGGGATTGGACTAGATGGCATTTGATGTTCCCTTGCAACTCTACAATACAGAGGCTGGATGGCCCTCTGTCGGGAGGGTTTGGAATGTGTCTTCCTGCATGGTAGGCCTGGGATTGGACTAGATGGCCTTTGGGGTTCCCTTCTAACTCTATGAACAGCGATACAGAGGCTGGAGGGCCCTCTGTCGGGAGGGCTTGGATTGTGTCTTCCCACACGATAGACCTGGGATTGGACTAGATGGCTTTTGGGGTTCAGAGGCTGGAGGGCCCTCTGTCGGGAGGGTTTGGATTGTGTCTTCCTACACAGTAGACCTGGGATTGGACTAGATGGCCTTTGGGGTTCCCTTCTAACTCTTTGGTGCCCTTCGTCAACTTGTCCAAGGAATCAAGAGGTTGGATGGCCATCTGTCAAGGCGGAAATGGGGTTGGACTAGATGGCCTTTAGATTCCCTTCCAGCTCTAGTTTGCTATGGACATTGAATGCCACACTAGCTATCCCTTTGGTGCCCTCCATCCACTTGGCCAAGGAAGCAAGAGGTTGGATGGTCATCTGTCAAGAGTGATTTGACTGTGCCTTTCTTCCTCCATGGTGGAAATGGAGTTGGACTAGATGGCCTTTGGGGTTCCCTTCCAGCTCTAGAATGCTATGATAATAGCATATTTAGGTTCCCCTCCAGCTCAAGTATGCTATGAACATAGAATGCCGCACTAGATATCCCTTTGGTGCCCTCTGTCCACTTGGCCAAGGAAGCAAGAGTTTGGATAGCCATCTGTCGAGAGTGCTTCGATGGTGCCTTTCTTCTTCCATGGTGGAAATGGGGTTGGACTAGATGGCCTTTAGGTTCCCCTCCAGCTCTAGTTTGCTATGAACATTGAATGCCACACTAGATATCCTTTTGGTGCCCTTTGTCCACTTGCCCACAGAAGCAAGAGG